GCTGATCAAATCGTATGCAAGTTCTCAGACATGCCGAACGAGTGCATGCTTGCTCTGGAGGCTTGTGTCACAGTGAACTTTCACGTGGTACACATATGGACAACCAACTGGCGTAACCTCAGCATGTCAGGATAGTACTTGTCACCCTTATGAATGTAGTTGTATCTGCACATTCATTCCTGTCATAATATCAAATCTTCAAGTCACGTGAATACTTACTGTTAGTTCTAGTATGCGATCTATATCATCGAACCAAAATACTTCGAAGTATTATTTTGAATGATACTTTGATTCCGATGATAGAAAACATGCATTCACATATGTCAGTCGTCTGAGAACCAAAATATTTGCCATTGTCATAAGGATAACAGCTCCACTGTTACTCTTGAAAGTCATTTCACTTGAAAAGAACCTGTAGCCCTGTACTGTAACCTCGGAACCCCCGGACCCGTTGTGTTGCTATTCCCGGGGTTAAGCTGCATCACCAGTGGTTCGTTAAGTTCATTCACAGTTAAGTGATTAGCTATCGATAACCACTGAAATTTCAGTAAGTCTTTGTCGACCAATAACGTTACCGGTAGTGAGGTTAATCCTCAGCCCGTCCTGATACAGTGTGGCGTTAGTTTAATCAAGTCAAGCCAAAATATCCTCACGCCACGAAAGCGAGTTGTGAGGATATTGCTGAACTCATTTCGTTTTGATTGGCTGAGGTTTTCATTAAAATACACCCGCACCCATTTCAAAGTTCGCCCTGATATCATTTGAGTTTCGCCTTCATGAATGATTAACTTTAACGTTAGTCAAAATGATTGCTTTCAGTGTTGCAGACATATACTTGGCGTTTAGCTGAGCGGTCAAGGTACCCGTCGTAGGACAAGAGTTAGATTACGCGTGGGTTCAAATCTCACCAAGTCTTTTTTTTGCTACCAATATTTCAATGGTGTGCACTAGAAATCGAAATACATCACCGGCTAAACTCGGTATTGATCGGCTCATCGACGGCGAACGAGCTAGTAGAGGAAAAGTGAGCTGTATAGGAGTAAATTCAGGCAAAACCATGGCAGTCCTTATTATGCTGCAATATTGTGAGTTCTAGTCGAATTTTCCATGCTCGATTGGTTCAATCAATCTGGAGGGTGATTTCAGAACCAATCCAAACCTCTGTAATATGATAATATATAAATATAGAGAGGTTCTATGACGTGTTTGAGAGAAGGTGCAATTCAAATTTTGCCGACAGAAGTGGCTCGCCACGAACGACGATACATCCATGGTGGCAACCCCTCAGCGAACACATGATGCGGTGTACACGCTTGAAGGCACTTTGAGATTCATCGAGATATGCCACTGGGTGGCGGTCGTAGAACTCGAAGAGCCACTGTCGCTGTGGGGTGGTAAACTTCTTGTCGGCTGCGGTGGTCGCTCGTTCGTACCCGCCAGTTTTTCGTAGACCTTGACCCAGTTGCCAATGGTATGTTCGGACTTGTTGAAAACGAGTGCAAGGTGTCTGCGCGAGAAGCCGAGGCTGTAGTAGGCGAAGAGGCAGTGGTAAACGGTGTTGGCGTGTGCATGCTGCCTTTTTGCTGCCTCTGCCATGATCTGCTGTCTTTTCCAGGAATCAAATGTCGAAGACAGTTTGTGATTGGTTAAGTGTATATTTTTTCTGACGAATCAAAAGGCTCGGTCGATTTGTTGGCATTTTACATCGTGGGGTCAAACCACCCCAAAACTGCAAGTTTCACCGGAATTCACAATAGTATTTCGTTGAGAACTTTGCTGCAAAAGAACCTGCTGGACTCACCCGACCACGATATACACACGCAGGCGAACCATAATTGCTAATAGGAAGTATGCCACTACCACACTACCAAAGATGTAGCAATAACGACGTGTGGGGGTTTCTATCATCATACAATTGAACAGCATAAGGCGCGTACAAAGCTCATTGTTGGTGAGAGGATGGAATATTTGCTGACGATAGCGTTGTGTTTTAGTCGTATTCACAGTGAGAGGATAGTACTGCTGCAGTGTTGCAGTCACGTCACAGTAAGGGCAAGGCACATTACTGAGTATTATGTCATAATCACATCTATAGTGAGGGGGTAGTACAGAACTAACAGTGTACTGTACACTGTAAAGATAGTGTTGTGTTGTAGGCATATCCACAGTGGGGGATATCAAATTTACTGTGAGGGGATAGCGTATTGCTGTGTTGTTGCCACGTCGACAGTGAGGGGGTATCATTTTTACTAGTGAAGGGATAGTATTTTACTTGGGAGGGGATAGCATTTTACTGATGACAAAGCGTTGTGCAGATTGTGTCAAGGGATAGTATTTTACTTGGGAGGGGATAGCATTTTACTGATGACAAAGCGTTGTGCAGATTGTGTCATGTTGTACGCACATCCACAGTGAGGCGGCGAGGGGGGAAATAGCTCAGGTGGTAGAGCATCGGTTTCTTAACTCAAAGGTCGTGACTTCGATTCCCCCGATTACTTGTATTTCCGCAAGGATTTATCCGTCCCTCCCTGGGGAATCCGGATAACAAGGGCTGCGTACGACGACGATCGAAGAAGGTCGGTCGACGCACGAGGTATGAAGCCTTGAGCGAAGTAAAAACATAAGATGCAGGCGCGTTACAATTGGCGAAGCGGTTCCACAACATGTCGGCCCTCGGGGAGGAATGTCTTAAAAATGATAATCCAAACTCATAGTCAATTACCCCTGGTACAGTAACCACAGTGAGGCGGTGACATTCACTATGAGGATGTATCATATTGATCTATGCCATACACGCAGGAAAATAGTGAGAACGACATCTTCAAGTCTTCCACGATCAAGAACGACGTGCTCACGATGGGGGTTGCGACTGGCAGGGGGGATATTCGAAAATGAAGGGATTGTTTTGAGCTGCACCATGTTGAAAGTGCGCACCCAAACGAGCAGGAGGGGAGAAGTACCGTGGATTTGCTGGGATCATCCACACACATGAGTGTCGCAAACCAGATGATCCGTAACTACTACAGTGGCAGCTGCGCCTTCACAATTACTACGGAGTACTGTACTCCGGAGTGCACTGGAAGTGCTTGTGCTCCCATATTTGCTCTGAGCAGCCACAGTAGAATACATATCCGTATACCGCTTGATCCTTTATGCTGATCAAATCGTATGCAAGTTCTCAGACATGCCGAACGAGTGCATGCTTGCTCTGGAGGCTTGTGTCACAGTGAACTTTCACGTGGTACACATATGGACAACCAACTGGCGTAACCTCAGCATGTCAGGATAGTACTTGTCACCCTTATGAATGTAGTTGTATCTGCACATTCATTCCTGTCATAATATCAAATCTTCAAGTCACGTGAATACTTACTGTTAGTTCTAGTATGCGATCTATATCATCGAACCAAAATACTTCGAAGTATTATTTTGAATGATACTTTGATTCCGATGATAGAAAACATGCATTCACATATGTCAGTCGTCTGAGAACCAAAATATTTGCCATTGTCATAAGGATAACAGCTCCACTGTTACTCTTGAAAGTCATTTCACTTGAAAAGAACCTGTAGCCCTG